AGGAGAGAGAGGGAGAGAGAGAGGAGATGAGAAGAGGGGAGAAAGAGAGAGAGAGAGAGAGAGAGAGAGAAGAAGAGAGAGAAGAGAGAGAGAGAGAGAGAAGAGAGAGAAGAGAGAGAGAGAGAGAATCATTGTAAGCTACAATTATCATCATCAGAAATTAATACCGAAGCATGAACAAAAGTGTACAATCCTGATCTGAACTTAGGCAAGGTCAAGATCCGTTGTCGAATACGGAAATAATGGCCAGAAACATATTCGTTGAGAATAACCGTTCGACTGTATGCAATTTTTCCTCATGTGACACCTTTAATATTCGAACAACAATCAGCTGCTAAAAATAAGAATGATTTAACGTAATCACAGACAAGGAAAAAAATGTCTTGAAATTGGAGAACCTCAAGCTTACACATGATACAAGAAGGACCCATAAATCTATAGCCTGACCTCGATTTAACCTGAAGGCGAGAAGAGGGCTCAGTCACTAAATTATTTTTTTTAGATCTACACGCCCAGAGTCACGTATTTCATGCCAGTACGCTATGAAAACGGCTGAAGTAGCAGTCACACGATTATGTAATATAATGATCCTGCCTTGTGCATTTGTAAAAAGAAAAGAAAAAAATGTAGGTGTGGAGGAATGATATGCACTTTGAGGAATCGACACGAGAGAGAAGTGAAGTGATCGTGAAAACAGAAAAAAAGAACTTCATCGTGAGTAAAAAGATTATGGTACAAGAAAGTACACTTACTCAGCCTGAGCTTCCTCGCCGGTGTTCATAACCACGGGCATGATGGCTGTATCCTTTCTCTATCCGCAAGTTCTCTCTCCCGTTGCTCTGTCTCTGTAAACGAGACTTCTAAACGCACTTCCCTACTGGCACGTAGTTTCGCAGCGCTACAGACAGTGGTTCTGCAAGACCAGGATCGAAGACGTAGTGTCTGGCACCGCGTGTCTCATGCACTGTCTCGCTTCCAGTTGATAACGTGCAGGCCAGCTGGTTCCAACCTGGAATACGCGTTGGATGTTTGCCCTGGAATCGCCGACTCACTTTCCGCTCTCTTGTTCAACCTTTGAACTGTTTCGACTGACTCTGTCACCCTCGGAGAAAAACACAAGACTCGAGAAAATGTCACACCTAAATCCTGCGTTATCTGATAAGAGTTTAAAAGAATAACGAGGAGGATATGTGGCAACAGCGCGCACACACTGATCACATGCTCACCCGTATTGATCACTCGAGAAGGACGAAGAGGTCGACGGTTCGGTGCCGAAACAATATGAAAAATGTTGTTTTATAATTTTTCATCGCTACGTTAATAGGAACCACAGAAACAGAGTCACTTTGCTAATTAATCAATTAACGGTATGGAAGTAAAATAACATCCAAACAATCAACGGAATACACGGACACAATAAAAAAAAGTATTTTACGGACTGTGTACAAAGCATTGACTTAAAGTAACAAATCCTATTGATTTCCCATCATGTCAAATAACACACAGACATAGAAATACTATTCGTATGGTTATGCCCTGGAGTCCCAACCAACAGCCTCCCCTCACTCGCTCCTTTTTCGATTTAAACATGGTCGTAGAAAGTCCGTAGGACTATTAAGCGCTACACATCGATCTGCTGTTTCTAATGGGTTCTTGTATCATATAGCCACTGCATTTGCCTAAATCGTTGATGTCTCTACATTGCATAGATAAGCCACGATCACAGCGAATGTAGAAAGAGCACCTGTTGCAGTGAGGAACAGATGTACACTGCTGTTATCGAACACGTGTTGTTAATTCCGCCCTCCCTCATAAGTACCACAGATGTAGATGTCCACCCGCAGGTGTTACAGCTCCCTCATACTTTAGTGTTCAGCTCAAGCATGGCCAAAGGCAGTCTAGTAAACCGCGTCGACGGATGTTTTGTGCCATATTCTCTATCGTGAACTATGTCGTGTCCGTCAGTTTTATCTCTAAAATTAAGTTTATCATTCTAATTAGCCTGGAGCATTGCATGTTTGCCGAAGAATGCTGTACTCGGCATGTGGGAAGAAATACTATCAGTGTCTGAGTTTATCAATACTAGTAAGTATTCAATTCCGTATTGTCACGACTGTTATTATTATAGTACCCATACTAGTGTGACTATCGCCATCAAGGCCTTTGTTTTCCTCCTGCCTCCATTTTCATTACTTTCGATATTACTGTGATGAAAACCATTGTTGTCGCCAGCATTGCTGATTAGAAAAAATGATATTACTATGAAAACAATACCATTAATACTGACACCATGGTCGATTTTACTATCAGTGATCATAATTCAGGTTATCATAATTCTAGGATTATCATATGCCTCATTACCATTACTGTCATCATTATTCCTGCTATCGTCATCATTATTTTCATTTTCTGACTACATCATTAGATATATATATTCACGGAAACATGTAAAGGAGACAGCCACATAAGTTCTCCAGTTTTCAAGAACAGTTATTCCGCAAATCCGTTCCTGGAGTTTCCGAGGCCAGTTCTAACGGCCGGTTCGTTAAAAAAATGTAAAAAAAAAAAAAATAATAAAATTCGTATAAGCAGACATACAAATACATACAAATAAATGCATATCTATCGATCTACAAAATAAATATACATTTATTTTTTTCTATCTGCATGGTAGGTATGCATGTCCAGACTGACAGAAATGCATTTATTTCTGTGTATGTGCATGTCTGTGCCATGAAAACCTTTTAGGTCGGGCCTGGCACAATTTTAACAAACCGACCGTAAGAGTCAAGCGCGTCTTCCTCTGTGCCTTCGTCTGCCTGTCGGTCGTGGGCTGAGTCTGCTGACTTACGTGAACGTTTTCTTTTCCGTTTTCTACTAGGGGGTGTCTTTCATATTCGGAGAAAGGACTTTGGCTTGATCTGGAACATCTTAAAGAGGTATTTATGTATAAAGAATAATTACTTGTTTTGTGACAGTGGTTTTGCAAAGAGACGGGTTGGAAATGCACTCGTAGAAACTAATATCACAACAATCAGATTTTGCTCATCGGACTCCATCAGACTCGTCAGCAAGAGAGGTCGGCATTCATCTCTCTGGCGACCCTTGGGTTTCTCTTACGAACCTCTCAAGCCCAGATTCCAAAAAGGATTTTTTTCTTGCGAGATCTTCGATGCTACTGGTACGGTACCATTACATAAGCAACTATAATGGCCACTGGTATGTGACTATTTGCTTTAGCATTCGTGCCGCCTTAATATCTCCATTCATCTCGAGTCTCTCGTAGTCACGTCATGGGCATTCATAGCATACCGTGGCTAAATATTGCACAACCGTGGTCATTTTCCACAATACAATTGCACAGGAATGCTCACGTACCACCCCACTACAACACCAGTACGGCCAATAGGCGTCACAACGTCATTGTTAAGACAAATAGACCAGTACACGGAGCGCTATCTTTCTTTTTTTGAAATCTTTTGAGACTAATTGTGAACTCCAGAGACTGTTTGGGGTCCAAGAGTTCCCCTGACTCCATCTGTGGCAGTCCTTAAACCTTCTCTTTATACGCTGACCGGAGCGGTTCAGTTAAAAATCTTGAAAGTGAGAAAAAGGCCTATCGGAGAGGAGAGAGGAGAGGAGAAAGGAGTATCCACAAATGTGAGTTCAACGCGAGTTGTTCCTGCAGAAAGCGAGTATCCACAAATGTGGAGTTCAACGCGAGTTGTTCCTGCAGCATTCTTCCAAATGCAATGGATTTATCGGTCATTCCTATATTTTAAAGCATTTATTTTAAACATCATGGAAATATAATTCGATAAAGCCAAAAACTTGCTATATATACGAGTGGAAAAAGATTTTGCATTAGGTTAGTGCATCGTTGTAGGTCTCTCTCTTTCTCTCATGCTGCTAGCACGTTTTATTTTCATTACATTTACAGAGCATTCCATTACGTATAATCATAGCGTCCCTTTCCTATTAACTGAAGCATCATGAAATGTCACCGAAACCGCCCACGTCCGGGGGCTGCCTGTTGTTTCTTTGATAACTAGATAAACACCTGAGTATAGCTACGTTGTTCCGAATGAACTGTTCGTTTCCAAGAAAAAAAACATGAATGAAAATATAATATATATGTGTTTTTCTTTTCTTTTTTGAGTAAATGTGTGTATCTACATGCTTTGAAGTGTTTAATGCTATACGTTAGTGCATATGCCGATACAATTCGTTTAATCACTTGTAAAATTGGCCATGCTTCATACTCACCTTTATCAACTTATCTGTTCTTGAGGCTGATAACAGCTTGTTGTTCTGCGAGAAGCTTACTTCATATTTTATTGCCTGTTAGTTATCATTATTATTATCGTTAATGATACCATTACTTGTCCTTCCTATCACCACTACTATAATATTGTGTCATTTTCTCGAAGACTGAATTTTACACTATATCTATTATGTCGTATAATTTTCTCTTTAGATAGCAGGCTGCTGGAAATAAATGACAGGAAATGACCTCATGGAAAACTTGAACGTGTTGACAAACTGCAGGGTTTATGAGTACTTTATGTCCTTTGATAACCATTAACAGTGATAGGGTCTGAACACCAACCTTCATACCCTGGCTTTATTTTATTTCGTTTTTCCTTCTCTCTTCTTATTATCCTTTTCTTTCGTTTGCTCTTCCTTTAATGCTCTCCATTTCCCATTCACTCTTTTCTTTCCTTTGGCAATCTAATGGACTTAAGTCTAAGATACTTTGTATTTTCAAAAAAAAATGTTTTAGCAACTTTTTCCCAAAATTGAATCCAAGAGGAATAGGTGTAGGATAAGCTTGCCCTTGTTAAATATATTACGAAATGTGTTAGATGAATGGGAATAAAATTACTACACTTGCAAAACGATGAATTTTCAGAATATATCAATCATGGTTTAGAGAAGAGGAAGAAAATAACGTGTATTTCTTTTTGGAAAACTTTAAATAATCTACGGCTGTACTCCACCGACTTTGAATACTCCAGCATTCTTAAGAATGCTTCGAACCAGTTAACAGCGTCTGCGAATATAATGTTATGTTTTCACACGGAGAGCCATTCGATTTCAGATATTTATACAATCAAAACAAAAGTGCAGGTATTTATCGTAAAGAATTCTGCTTACAACGTTTTGATGCCAGTCGTGTCTGTTTGACCAGTTATGTGATTTAAAACCAATCCCGAAGGAAATATTGTCTTACAGAACCAAACACCTGTATTACTTCCCAGGACCATCTTCCAATAATCACGTATTTTACCACCAGAGATCTTACATGGAGACATATATTTTTTTTAGATTCAAAAGCACATTTTGGTAATAGGAAAAGATTACCTCCTCATTTTAAGCAAAGCGAAACAAGCAACAGCATGGGGTTTAATGTACAAATCTACTTGTTGATATTTATAGTCCTATTGCGGAACAGACAAAAGTTCTTTATCCACCGCCCCTTCTATTTCCCATTATTAAACTACACTACATTACTATTATACATGGAGGATCTATCCATACCCCACCGAGGCGAGATCTAATACCAGGAATATTCATCAAGTCCTAAGCAGTTCTAACAAGAATAAAAATGGAAAGGAATGGACATTGGACAAGAAACCCAAATATTATTTTGCAAGACGGGAATATCCTGTAAGCTCTCCTTTGTCCGCAAGCATTTGATTTCCTCCCCCGCCAGCAACGCCAGAAGGACCCAGCAAAGTAGGTCGCAGCAAGGAAATTCACGCAGCAGCGCCGTGCGTAATGCGCATGCGTTGCTCTTTGTTTACATTCGTAAGGGGGATAAACACACTTAATTGGTTTATAACCCGATGACAGAAAGTCTAAATCTGAATTTAGCTGTCGAGGTTTAAGGCGCAATGAGATCGACGGTTACAATTAATAAATGTGATGAGTTGTGGTCCCCATAGAAATAGGGAGAGGAGTTAAGGCAATCGATTTGCTGCGACAACCACGCCGTGAACACGTGATCCTCCAGCCTCAGACGCGCTCAGACTTTTTTTGTTCAGCCTGTTCCTACACGCGCTCGTAGGCGTACCCGTTCACGCAGAAACATCAAAACCAACCGGCGTTTATCTTTTGCCAAGCATGCTGTACATGTGCGTGTAAATCTGTAGTTACATACATGCATTTAGTGTGTGTGTGTGTGTGTGTGTGTGTGTGTGTGTGTGTGTGTGTGTGTGTGTGTGTGTGTGTGTGTGTGTGTGTGTGTGTGTGTGTGTGTGTGTGTGTGTGTGTGTATGTATGTATGTGTTGTATGTTGTGTGTGTATGTATGTGTGTGTGTATGTATGTATGTGTGTGTGTGTATGTTGTGTGTGTATGTGTGTGTGTGTGTATGCTGTGTGTGTGTGTGTGTGTGTGTGTATGTGTTTTCTATAGCGCATAAGCTCACGCATACACATTCTGGTGTATACAGGACGGGCTAGAGTTGATCCCACTTGTTCTGCTTGCGTCCAGATTGGGACAAGCTAACTGGAATTCACAATTTCCTGACACATTTTTTGAAGAAACCTGTAATTTCGTAATCCCACTGAGTACCTTAATAACTTACGCGGATACAAGTACAGCCTTATCCAAATGTTTGCAGGAGAAGTCTAAGTTCCCAACCCAAAAATCCTCGCCTATTAACTGTCAGTCTAGTCGCTGCCTCATGTAACTGCATTGCACGACATAGCGTAAAAGCTTCTTATCACCTTTGGGCGTGCGATACAAACCGTGAATCATGGCACAGCTCGTAAATGTTTCCAAGCTTAGGTGTCATTGCGGCCAAATTCCAGTGTGATAAAGCAAAAGCGTGTCATATTGCTGTCATCCAAGTAACCTGGCGTAGAAGATGACAAAGATGGTCTACCTCCACCGAAAGTATAATTCCTATGGCATTTTTTAATACAGACGCGATGTACGGGACTTAAACTTAAATACCCGAATGGAAATGAAAAGAAAGTCAGAAAACTGTCCCATGTAAAGAGATTTACCGACTTACCACTCACCAAATGTACAGAAGGCGGCATTCTAGTCAACACCTCTGCCCCACCTTCATCTCCCGAGCTTTATTTAAGTAGATAATGTCCCTTGTTCTCTACCCTGCCCACTTTCTCTACCTCAAGTCTGTTTGGTTGCTTATTTTGAAATGTGCGTGAGTGTCCGTCATAATTATCGTCAGTTCAGAGTTGTTGTATGTTCGTCTTATTTTTATTCGGTCTGAGTTTTTCAGTCTACAAATACCCATCTCTTTTATCACTATTTTATGAATATTTCTCTTCGTTCATGAGTCGGTACAATGCCTAATACCAGTTCAAAGTTGCGGCGGAAATCATCAATTTTCACCAACCTTTGTTCCCCACTTCTAATGATGATTGGAAACACACGACTCCTCTCTTATCTCGCTTGTCTCTGCCTTTGTCTGTCAGTCTCTCTCTTCACACACACACACACACACACACACACACACACACACACACACACACACACACACACACACACACACACACACACACACACACACACACTCTAGGAATAAACATAAGCATATGTTTATTCACATGTAGATGTACATGTATACGTTTAAGTACAGAGGTACAGGTATAGATATACTTTTGTGATCACGCTTATCTGTTGTCTTCTGTCTCTGTCTCTCTTTCTGTCTCTGTCTTCTGTCTATCTCTCTTTCTCTCTGTTGTGTGTGTGTGTGTGTGTGTGTGTGTGTGTGTGTGTGTGTGTGTGTGTGTGTGTGTGTGTGTGTGTGTGTGTGTGTGTGTGTGTGTGTGTGTGTGTGTGTGTGCGTGTGCGTGTGTGTGTGTGTGCGTGTGTGGTGCGTGTGTGTGTGCGAGTGCGTGTGTGCGCGCGCCGATCTCTCTCTCTCTCTCTCTCTCTCTCTCTCTCTCTCTCTCTCTCTCTCTCTCTCTCTCTCTCTCTCTCTCTCTCTCTCTCTCTCTCTCTCTCTCTCTCTCTCTGACTTTAAGTATGTGTCACCGCCCGTGTCTGTCGGTGAATGTATAATGACTATTTTCAAATGACTGTAAAATATACAAGAATGGCTCACATAATACGTCATTTGCCCATCTCTGGAATAACTATTGTACGACATACGGCAAAAATATCTTAACAATTCGTTCCTGTAATCTATTCAACAAGAACCTAAATGCCAATGAACTCGAACTGTCACAATTTTATTTTTCTACCAGTCACTCTATTCTACTTGTGTGACAGCCCAAGTCACGAATAAATACCTTATGTACTTACTGTTTTCTAGCCCGTTAAACTTTCGAAGCAAACTGGAGATCCAAAGAGAGACTATTCTCCGATGTTCTTTCCTTCAGTAAAGCAGTCGAATTCTGTCAGCCGTAGATGGAGAAGAACTACTAATCTCTTCTATCGACCCAGCGTATATTACTTGAGTTGCCTCAGAGGAAGGGAGATATATACAGTGGGGTGAAGTGGGTTGCCGCATATCGCTGGATACTGCGCTGTAGAATCCTGTGGGGGAAGGTGTATGAACAGGCGGTGGGCACGTGAACACTTCTACAAACACATGAAAGCTCTTTAACTTTGATATATTCGGAATGTTTAAAGTGGATGGCTACAAACACCAGCTTTTGTTTATTGAAAGATAAAATCCCAGCCTTGTCCAGAGCGTAAATACTAAGGTTAGAAGAAAGGACACCTGTAAACAAAGAAATGGTCTTTTTCAGTTGACTGCGCGTTCGCGGGAAACAGAGGAAATGATGGGTGTGCGCAGGGTTTGTCTAAGCGGATTAGTGAAAATTTCTCTGGTCACGGATCGCCCATGGTATCTGCGTCCTTTCTAAGTCTTATCTCCACCAGATCAACCTAAATTGTTACCAGGTTAGGCTGTCTGGGTGTATGGCAGTTGTGGATATCTGCTTGTTTCGTAGACGAAGCGAGAATGGTTCCTAGTGCTCGCGTTGAGTATGTATACTTGTTTTATAATTAGAACTGCGGAAACTCAGATAGACAGAGTATGTTTGGGTGCGTTAAAAAGCGTGCTTGCTTGTATGTGCGTTTGTGCACCTACATGTGTGTGCGTGAGTGTCACGTGGGAAGGGGAGGAGCTAAAGCTTACATTACATTAAGCACGCGACGGCGAGAAAGCACAGACACTCTTTACATACAAAGGGACATACAAACCCTTTAAGAAACATTACATGGAAATATGGATATATTCAGGCTCTCCAGTTGGCTCATGGGCTGTAGAAAGCGCGCTTACACTTAGAAATTCTGATAATGTACTATTACACATGGTAAGCGTTTCCTGTGTTTAGTTCAAATGCAAAAGGTCAGGCAGAGCAATGTGTATTCTATATCATTTTTTAAAGCTGATTGTCCATGGAACTGATGCAACGTGTGCGTGCGTGCGTGCGTGCGTGTATGTGTGTGTGTGTGTGTGTGTGTGTGTGTGTGTGTGTGTGTGTGTGTGTGTGTGTGTGTGTACATGCGTGCGTGCGTGCTCGTGCTAACCATGGTCTTTGGTTAGATTTTTTCACCTTCCGTAGCAAGGAAATAATCTTCCTGAATTAGATGCAAAAGTATGCCTATCGCGGCACGTCCCAAAAGGCCTTTCCCACATACCCGTGTCCTTGTTGCACTTACTGAGAAACGATGAACTGTTATTAAGCTCCATTACTGTACAATTCACTGGCTTGAGCGTCGAGATCAATCTGTGCACTGGATGTTCCCCGAAATTAGGGCATCTGTCTTCTGGGAAACTCCTTTTACGTGTGCTGGTCCATGAACGCGGGCGGTTAGACACGCATTTCAAATTTAAAATCCTAAGGCGTGATTGGTCTCTTCACTTGCGAAAAAATAGCATCGTTTGTTGAGCTCATAACATGCAGCTAAAATGGCGTGGATTTATATCATAATGTGTTTGAACATATTTACAGAACTTGTTTTTTCTTTGTTTTTCTTCTCTGCTTTCTTTTCTGGAGACTTATCTTTGTCCTACTGATGTTTAATGTTGAAAAGGTAACAGAAAATATTGTTGATGATGATAACAATTATAAATATTGGCGTGTTAGAGACATCTTTATACCGAGATCCAGTGTTGAAATGATAATACTGAAAATAATGTTGATAATAACAGTTATAATCAGTGGTGTGGCTCATGGCAGGGGGAGGACAGGGGCGTCTTTTCCCCTTCAGCTCCCCCTTACCCCGATGGTGGGGGGGGGGGTCTCCCTTAGAGATACCGTGAAGCTTCAAAGGACCTAATGGGCCCCCTAATGTGTAGCTGCGCCTCTAATTATGATGATTATATTGACAACATTGGTAATAATGACGATAATGATTTCTAAAATAACAATAATGATTATGATGATTTTAATAATTATGATAACCATAATGATAGTAACAACGATGATAATAACTATTGATAATGATGATAATGATAAAAAAAGATGAGGATGCAACAATAATAATATCAATCATAAAGATCTACTACAACTAAAAGAGTAATTATGACTATAATAATAACAATGATAAAGAGAATAACAACAAAGGTAACAAAAAGGAAAGAATGACCATAACAATAAGAACAACAACAATAAAAAATAATGATATATTGCATCGTTATTTCCTAGTGCTCCCAAGAGAAGTGTAAAAACCCAGGTTGAAAAAAAGGCGAAGCGAGGGCGTGGCAGAAGTCTGCTTGCTGCCGGCTAATTTCGTCCTGGAGGCGAAGTTCCCCCACAACACCTCCCTCCCGCCCGTCCACAACTTACACTGTGCTCGTCCCCCACGCTTCCCTGGGGGGGGAGAGGGGTTGTAGGAGGGGTAAAGGGGGTAAAGGGAGGGAGGGGTAAAGGAGGGATTTATGGGAAGGAGTGGTTATAGGAGGGATTGATTATGAGACGGGTAAAGGAGGGATTTGTAGGAGGGGTTAAGGGAGGGAGTGGTTATGGGAGGGGTAAATGAGGGATTTATGGGAGGGAGTGGTTATAGGAGGGGTAAAGGAGGGATTTATGGGAGGGGTTTAAAAGGAGGGAGGGGTAAAGGAGGGATTGATGGGAGTGGTTATGGGAGGGGAAAAGGAGGGATTTATGGGAGGGGTTAAGGGAGGGAGTGGTTATGGGAGGGATAAAGGAGGGATTATGGGAGGGTAAAGGAGGTATTTAAGGAGGGAGTGGTTATAGAGGGTGGAAAAGGGTTCATGGGTGTTCATTCCTCTATGGTTTTGTCTCCTTTGTGGATTCCCTTTGTGTTTGGTTCTCGTGCATCCAGCTATATTCGGGGTGGGGGGTGGGGGGGGGAGGTCCATTTAAGGGGTTCCCTGTATGTTTCAGGCTTGATGGAAGAGATATATAATAAAATAAGGTCATTTGTTCATTATTAATGGTAAAATAAGGTCGTCTGCTTATTCGGTTGTGCTTA